ATGAATATAATCTATCGGCTTTATTTCGTAGAAACCCTTTATAATACTGATAAGGCAAGGGTTTTTTTTTAACCCAAATCGTTTAATGTTTTTTTAACCCTGTATCTTCTAGATTGCTATTATATATTGAATCAAATTTTTCAAATAATTTTGACTAGTATTTAGTATTTAAAATAGGCAAATATGCTGATTGTATGACTCAGTTATCTATGGTAACCTTATCTATGGTATGACTATTGTTTTTGAAAAACATTAATCAAGAAAATACAGTTTTATTTTATAAGGCAATACTTACAATACTTGACGAATACTATTTATATATTTCCAAAACTATTTTATAATTAGCAACCTATCTACAGAAATTTGATGAATTTCCATTAATTTTCAATTGTGATAACCAATACAATTTGTTGAGAGACAGTAGTCATTGGTTTCGATCTTTTTCATATTGGAAAATATTGTTATTCCATATTAATATCAGATGAGAAAACACTTAAACATTAAAGACACACTAAAAGGATATTCAGATTATGGCATATAATTTGGTAACATCTTGAAGGAGAGATTTGCAATTTTCTATTATTTGTACATTAAATATTTAGTGATTATTTTTTATTGCATGATCATATGTCTTCATTTTCTTATAAAGAATTGTTAATAAAATTTAAGCTAACAATAACAAGAATAATGACACACAAAAATCTGAATTATCTTCTTCTGCTGATAAACTATTAGAGTATAGGTACTCTATACAAGATTTAATAGAGTTAGCTCCAGAGCACGAAAAACATGCTTGCAATGAAAATATAAAAAAGCTGATTCAGTCGTCATTCAACTCTGAATGTATTAAATTATGTGATAAAGCATTGGTTCAAAAACCCAAGGTTGATGTGAAATTGCTTCCTAAAAAAGAAATATTATGCACAGAAGTTATTCAGTAAGTTGAAACAGATATGCATAGAACATTCTTTTGCATGTTGTTTTATTTATTGCTAAACATATGTAAACAATGATACAAGTGAGCAATTTAATGTTAATCTATAAGATATATAAGCAATATAATGCTTTCACAAATTTGTTCTGCTCATATTGACAAATTTAAATTAAAATCATTTTATTTTGCTCATTCGAGTTTCAAATGTGTATTAAAGATAGTTGGATTTAAAAAATAATTTCAGATTATATGACAAGCAACATTATTGTTTGCTGTGCTACATATTTCTCAATTCCAAAGATATACTAAATCATATTGCATCCAAAAACCATATAAAAAGACAGAAATATAGGTTATCTTCAATTAAGGCAAAGAAAGCATATTTTTGCTTCATCTGTAAAACTGTTTCTTTTGATGCTGAACTATTTGCAGTTCATATACAACAAACAACTCATAAGCATCCGTGAGTAGCATTTAACAATTATTAGTTTCATACATATTGTGTTTTATCTTTTTAATACTAATTTTTATTATAGGCAATACATTCAAAAAGAGTGTTTTAAATGCCATATACAATTTTATGGAGCCACAGATAATATTTATGAACATAAACATTTTGAATCGGAACTCGAGCAAGAGGTGATATCTGGTAAAGTATATTGAATAATTTCTCCTCAACTTCTCATTAAAGACTTAGTATCATATTGACTAATCACTAGATGCAGTGTAATGTTTTGCAATATTAAGTGATGTAGTGAATAATAGTTGATAAATTATTTTATTCAATTAACTATTTAAGCTTTTGTATTGTATCAATACTAGTAACAATGCATTTTTTAACTTTCTGAAGGAATATGTGTGTGGTTTGTATGGGAGACAAAATTTGATCTATCGTTAACATTTTCTTAAAAGGCAAAGGCAGTCCAGGTTTTGGCGATACGGAGCTAAATATGCAAAAATGGCACTTTTTGAGAGAAGGAATCATCGGATTTGAATGATTCAAAAAACTTTCTGCTTCTGTTGACGAAACGATTGTTTTTAAGAAAAGAAAAAAAAATTTTCTTCAAAAAAAATTTTAATATCGAAAATAATTTAGATTCTAATTTTAATTTTAGCTCAAGTTCTATGGCTCACTTATGTAATTCAAATAAATAATTCTAACTTTGCAATTCATCAGGCAAAAGTTCATGAAAATCACCCTTTTTTGTTTCAATATATATATTTAGTTTAAACTTTTGCAAAAATTTTGGAAAAAAGATAGATAGATATGATGAATAAGTATTTTTTTAAATTTTATGCATATTTTTTTATTTTGTGGGAATCTTTGTTTTTCCTGAGAGATTTCTATTATATTTTTATTATAAAAATTTTAATTAAAACGATGCAATACAATTTTTCTGACAATTTTTTTTTATTTCGAAGATCCTATATATATATACATATATATATATATATATATATATATATATATATATATTATAAATTCTGAAAATGTTATTGAAACATATATAAATTTGAAACATTTTTCAATCATATGCAATTAATCATTCTCTCAAAATTATGACTTCGTTTTTCAAATGTGTGAAATATAAACGTTGAAATCAATGTTTGCGGTTATATTACTGTTTCGTGTTTTGACTTGAGCTGATATTGAGACACCTTCGATACATTTATAATCAAATTTACAAACCTTCAGATAGAATTATCTCTAAACATATAACACACATTCATATTTCTCTCTTTTTCTGTCAAATGCTTATTAACATTATTGAAAAATTAATCTACATGAAGTTCAAAAACACTACATTGTTTAGCATGAAAGTCGTATACTTTTTATGGGCATCAATTTATGATAAATATAAAATTAAATTTCCATGTATAGTGTGAACAGGGCCGTGCCTGGGTATGTGGCACAGCAAAATATCAAATGTGTTCTCACGAAAAAAATTGGCTTATAAATTTTATGTTTTCTCGACATTTCAAGTCATTCTGGATCGTTTGAGACAAAATTTAATAAAAAGTGTGCATATGAGCCAATTTTTGACTTTTTGCAAACGTTTTCTCAAAAACGGTTAAATCGATTTCTGTAACTAGATAAGAACTAGCGTCTGCCAGTTATGTGCAACAATTGGCCATGCCGTTTATAATCAACAGAAAAGTCTAAAAAAATTGTACACGTTTTAACCAAAAATCCTGCGTCGATTTTAAAAACCCAGAAACTATTCGAAAGATATCATTTGAAAATCGTCCTGATTAGTTTTGGAGATCGATCGGGTCGTTTCTTCGTATTTAATTGTTAAATATTTTTTACCGTGATATTTAATATTTATTTAACTTTATTGGCGATAGAGATCATGGTCTCAATTATACCTAAATATTTCGACCCTACAATAAGTTGTTTTATTTTAAAAATACTATCAAAGTTTCATCTTTAGTCGACGTGTCCTTTAAAATACGCAATCCTATATGAAAAATCGATTAAATTAAATAAGCACTCGTGCTGGTTACTTCTGCCAATTTTTGGTACACGTTATGAATTCGCAAATTGATTTTGAAAATTCAAAAACCATTACAAAATTACTATTTGAGAATCGCGCTGATTTTAAGTTTTGCCGCCTCTTAATCCAGCGGTCTTTTAATTTGACCGTCTTTTAATTCAGTGGACTATTAACGCGACCGCTTTTTATTATGGCCGCTTTCGTTATGGCCGCCTTTAAATTTGCTCTTTTTTTATTTGGCCGCCCCTCGGCCGCCAGCACGCTGGCCAGGCACGGCCCTGAGTGTGAAAGATTTCTCGTGCAGTGCTCAAATGAGCTATTATTGAAAATAGTTTTTTAACTAACAAGGGATGATATGCATGATATCAGGCTGGTTAGCATCTATGAATAATAGCAGTCATATTGATTTTTACTGTGTTAATAACTGCATTGTGAGTAAGATATGTACAAAATATTATAAAAAATAATAAATTAAATTGCCATTTGCTGTATACCAAATTCTACTTATACTGAAGTATTTCATATAAAAAATGAAAACAGCATAAATAGTATAATTTTACTGAGAACAAAAACGAATGAATTTAAAATTTATCTTCAATGAAAATATTTTACAGATAATTGTTAGTTTTTGTTATTTTATATGATTAATAAAAATTATTATTTGCAGTATTGCAGATTAACAATGATTTAAATGGTCCAAATAATTGGTCCAGTGATTGGATCACTGTACGTAATGTGAATTTTATTAATAGATATGCTATATATAGAGCAAATTTGTTTGATAATTGTTTGTTGTGTAATGTCAATATATGCAAGGGAGAATTAAATATTTTGACGCATATAAAAGGATCTAAACATGAAAAAGGATTGAAAAATGATGATAAAATAGACTTAATTAGGCCGTTTTTAAATCGACTTGATAATTACATGAAGGATGACAATGACAACATATTGCTTTCAAATAGAGATTTCATATTTCCTTATTCTAAAAGGACAATTTATTGCAAACCATGTAATAAGGAAATTGATGTCAGACAAAAAAAAATATTCGCACATTTAAAAACTATGGATCACATATCACAATGCGAATCTGTAATCAAGAGTAGTTCGGGAAAATTGACACTTTTGAACAAAGAAGTTTCATTAGAGAAAGATCACATAGGTAACTTGGTGTCTGATAGAAATAAAATCATGTATTCTAATGGTTTATTTGCAAACATCTCGACAGGTGTTATGAAAGTTAGTTCTCATGATGCATTCAAAAATAAACAGGAGATTGAAGGACAAAATATTTGTGTCAGTTTTATGAAAAGTAATGTACCAAATAATTGGAATCGGATAGATTCTAGAATTGACCCAGTAGAAGACAATAACATATTTATTGATGACAGCGTTAGTGCTTTCATTAAATGCATTGAAAGTTCATGGGCAATTGTTAAACCGATGTATATATATAATAGAATTTTTTTTTAAGTGAGTATGAATTAAATAAATAAATATAAATATTATAACTAGTAAATATAAATACATATTTTATTTTTTTATATATTTTTTTTTTTATATTTTTTAGTTTTACTGATGGTATATATTTATGTACTTTATGTAATAATGATATTGATGTTTCTGCCAATGTTTTTTCCATAAAGAATCACTTGGAGAGCATTACTCATAGAAATAATGCATTACTGGTAAATTTATCACATCGATATTATTGTTATTTATGCGACTTAATGATTCAGAATGAGAAATCATATTTAACTCATAAATCACAAAAGGCACATAAGGAAAGGTATGGAATGTATTTGTACTCTAACAATTCATTTTTCTATTATTTTACTAATTTTGGTATTTAAATTTACACTTGATTTAATAAAAAAATTTAAATCAATTAGAATATATACCAGTTAATTATGGAGTGCATAATTATGCAGACCTAAGTGGTGTGTTTACATGCTTTAGGTCATAAAGCTTTAAATAAAGGAATTTATTTAAGGCTTTATGACGTAAAGCATGTAAGCATGCACTTAGGTCTGTAAACATGTACTGAACTAGTGGTGCATGGATTGTCCCCAAAAGATTTAATAATATTTGATATATTTAAAAAAAAATAGATTTTTGTGAATTGGGAAATTCTTGAAAAAATTTAACCCTTTTTGAAAAGCTAATTTTTTTTCATAGAAAATGCATAAAAATATAAATAAATTTATTTATATTTTTATGCATTTTCTCACTTAAGTGAGTACTAAATTCACTGAAATGTTTGTTAATTTGATGTGCATATGTTCAATGATCATCTTTGGCCGCCAAATATAATTTTTTTCACACTTTTTCTCCGAAACCGCTGGGCCTACCACATGCACAAACACTACTTTGGATGCTAAAAATGTTAAGAAATCTTTGAAACGTAAAGATATGCAAAAAATTTTATGTTTTTGAGATAACAGAGTATATGATTTGAATGATTCAAAAAACATTCAATTTGTAATGATTGGGAGCCGTGCTGATTAGTTTTTTTACAAAAATAAGTCGATTTTTTTCGGAGATACGGAGCTATAAGAATGCCAAAAATTGTAGTTTTTGATAGAACAAAGCACCCGATTTCAATGATTCAAAAAACATTTTGTTAGTATTGACAGTCTGAAGAAACTATTACTTTTTGATGAGAAAGTCATTTTTTTTTTATTTCGAAAAAATAGTTTTTTAAAATATCGAAATTGAGTCGAATTTTAATTTTAATTCTAGTTGAAATTTTAAATCTCACTTATATACTTGAAACAAATATTTTTAATTTTGCAATTCACTTTATATAATTCTTAAAGTAATATATTACACTACGTATTTATAAATATATGTAACATATTTCTAAATATGTAAATGTCGTCGACTTATATTTTCTGTATAAAATACAAATAATGAAAGTTACAGTATTTGTAATAATCTATTTGAAATCATTTAAAATTTCTCTATTATTTTATTACATTGAGTATTCTTCGACGGCGTTGTTCCAAAAACGGCTGAACCGGTTTAAAAAATTTAAAAGCCATTCCATGTAAAGGTGCGTCCACACCTAACGAACGAACACGAACGAACATGTCGAACAAGAAAATACAAAATAGAACGAACAGGAACACGAACGAACGCGAAAAATTCCAAACAAACGCCTCAAAGCAGTGAGGGTTTGAATCTTTTTGTTCGAGGATGTACCGTGAAACGTCAGATTTATTATTTAAAGTGGCGGGAAAGAGAAAAATTATTTAAAGTCATCAAATTTACAAAATTTGTCAATAACAGCAATATCTTATAATAAATACAACATAAATTAATGCATTAATGCACATTTTAACACCAAAAAAGAAAAATGTTTGTCTACATTCGTGGTAGCGTCCACACTGCACATACGAGTTCAAACATGAACGAACAATTCCCTTTGATGTACCGACAAGTTGCGGAACATTGCTCGCCATGTTTGTTTATGTTCGTTCGTGATCGTTGTGGCGTCCACACTATGCTGTTGCCGTTCGTTCTGGTACGTTCTTTTATGTTCGTTCGTGTTCGTTCGTTAGGTGTGGACGCACCTTAATTCTATTAAAGACTAGCGTTCATTAATTTTGCCCGACGATCGGCCGAATAGTTTTTCTATGATTGAAAGTTCTGAATCCTGAATGGATTATAATGGTCCGATTCGATTCAGTGACTTAAAATTTCAAAAAAACATAAAATTTGAAAAATCAGATTTTCTGTCGAAAACGTCAAGATTGTTAAAATATTAACCTAGCTTTACTGCACTTTGAGTAATAAAAAACAAATTAATAAATATTTAAAATCTTAATGAAACAAGTGATTTATCTATATCAAACGATCAAAATAATATTGAATAATTGTCTTCTTTATTATAAAATATTTTAAAACCGCAGAATAAGCTAATAGTTTGTCCAAATAATACCATTGTTTTGATGTATTTTGAAGTAAAACTTCTTTAGGCGCGATATGGGTGTAAAAATTTTTAGGCGCGACACGGGTGTAAATCCGTACAAATGCAACGAAAATGCCAACGTGTAGTTGAACACTACGACGCCGTAAGCGCTGATGTCGCGAGTATCCACTCCCGTCATGTCATGCGTAAGTCGGGCGCTAAACCCTATATGAACTTGCATTAATTGAATCACGTTTTTTTTACAAAAGAAGAGGTTGCTGTATTATGTCCTCATGGAATAAGACTTTTCTTAGAGAATAAATGTGCCATGGAATATAATAAATTTATATTGAATCTCGTTGAAGACAAAATAATATCTACTGCCACGGATATTTATGTAGGTTGCCATGCGACAGATCAACAATCATACATTCGTCAGCAGTTTCAAAAAATCGGTTATTGATACCGGGGCTTTGCCGTATGAAATAATTTTAGTTCTGAATAAATTTTACATAATAACAACTAATATTGATGTAAGTGATGGCTTAGCTAATGGTTGTGTGGGAAAATTAGTGTACATAGAACGTGGCGATAATGATGAACTTCTACGTTTATGGTTTGAATTTCCCGGTAAGATAGGTAATAAAATTAGGAAGAAAGCTTCACATCATATTCAAACTCTTAATATCAGTAGGACAGCTGTGCCGATGCTCAGGAGATCTTATTATTATTGATGTTATATGATTATTAAAAGATGATTTTTAAAATTCAAATATGATGTTTTTTTATTTTTATCTTAATTGCCTACTCATACAATATTAAAAGTTTTACTTCAATCGCGTGTGATCCTTACGCGCACTCTTTTTTTTTATGAAGATTTATTCTTTAGTTAAATATATTATATTAAGACTGTCATTTAGTATCTCAAGTAATATATATATATATATATATATATATATATATATATATATATATATTATATATATATATATATGTATGTATGTATATATGTATATTGTATATGTATAGTATGTTATCGAAACATATTATTTGAATGAGTATGTTTGAATGTCGCGCGTGTCATTTTGTGCTGTTGGCTACAACAGACGTGTGTGAGCGAGTTCAGGCGGAAGGGGCAGAGCTAGGGAGTGACAAGGCGGAGTCTGTCGTAGCATAGAGATTGAGATAAGAGAATTTAGATGAATATAGATTTGATGAAATAAAAATAAATGTTTTGCAAGGACTACTGCACTGTATTTTAGTTGTTCAATTTATGTAAGATTCCTGACAAATAAATAATATTAGTATCTCAAATAATAATAGTAATTAAAATATGTATTTAATTGATTTGGTTTTATAGGTTAATTTCATACTTTGGATGTAAAAATAAGGGCCTATTTTTCAAAGACTTAGTTTGTCAAGAATGTGGTTTAATAATTTTTTCTAATGATGAGGGAGCATTACCTAAACATACACCCATCACTTTCAAGTTTAATGATACATCAGGTAAGGTTTTTCCACAAGTGTATAAAATTTATCGAAAGAAATATTTTTAATATCATATTATTTACTTTAGAGTTGCAATTATTATTTATCTAATATATTCATAAAGATTTTTTAAAATTATTTTTCACATTTCTAGACTTAATATATATGACATCATTGATTGGCTTCACCAACCCTATACAATATTTTTTTTTCATATTTTTTACATTTAAAATTTATATTTAACAAACAAACTGATGATTTTCTTCTGTTGAAAATTGCATATGATTCAGTAAATTCATATGTTCAACTTTAAATTTAACTTCTTATTTATTACGTCGCTATAATATTAAACGATTTTTATAATTGATAAGAAAAAAATTTAATTTTGGAAAAAAGTTTTACATTTTTCCAAAATTTAAATAAATTATTAACTTGTCTAAATTCCAAATTATTATTATGGTTTGTATTATTTGTACAGAATATAACTTGAAGATGTTTAATCATTTTTTTCATCTAATATTTTTATAGCCAGTAAATTAGAGTAACCTTGTAATACTGAACTTTGCACAATTTTATTTATTACTATTATTCAACCATTATATTTTTAAAACTGCCATTTTATATTTCAGTTAATTATTTCTAGAAGTTTTAATTTTTTTTAAATTGGTTTTTATGGTAAAAATTTTAATCATTATGGGCCTTCTAGTTTTTGAGTTTGATATACGAAAGTTTTTTTAATTGAAAACATTCCGAGATATAAAAAGGCGAGAATAACTCGTTTCTATTTTTATTTAGGGTTTCTTTATACAATATGAATTTTCATGGGCCATATTAATAGTATTTACAATGAAAATATCGCATTAAAATATTACCAAATATTTTTTTGTATTTAAGACTATGAAAATAATTAGCGATTATTTTTATTTAAATATGCCGCTTATTAATGTTAATAATTAGTTTTTTTATGATGATTTTATATTTTTTGCTCATATGTTTTTATTTTATATTACATAAAATTAAGACCTCTAATTAATGATATGCAAAGTTCTGTAAAATACAATCATAATTATTCTTGTTTCACATAAATACTAATACATTGTATTTAGTTATTTAAATCATTAAGTATTCTTACAAAATATACTAATAATAGTTTACAATACTGAATATATTGGAACTGTAGGTTCTAAACACAAACGGTCAGCATGAAAAATTTATTGAACATAACTTTAAAAGTTCAACTATTGTGCATCTCATTGTGTCATATTGCATTTTTATAGTAAATACAAATACAAAAATTGATGGAAAAGAAATAATGTTTGCTGCTATGAATGAATTACACGGAAATGCATCACATATGAATGGTGGCTGTTTAGGAGTCCGTGAAGATAATTTTTATGACAATGAAGTAAGTGCTGTTAATCAAATTAAGATTTTATCACTACTTGTATTCATGTATCTAATATATATAATTTTTTAAGGTATTAGATACTATTACTAAATACTATGTAAATGATGGAATGGATATAGGCTGTGTTCCAGCATTTTCAAATGAAAAGATTGCTGTTCCGTTGATGAATGGTAATTGCAGTAGTTTTGACTATTTACACTTTCAGTCGATGTTGAAAATAATATAAATATAATTTATGACAAAAGCTAATTATACAATTTTTGATGGTAGAATTAATTGCTTCTGATAATTCAGATTTTGTAGAAGAATATGAGCATGGTCAATTAGATAATTTAAAAATTATTGAGAATAATGGAGTTGAAGCAAATAATGGCAATGACACTAAAAATATAAATGTGACAAATAGTAAAGAAGAAACACGTAAATTAGAAGAAATATTTTTAAAGTTTTGGGACGATTTTGATCTCAGTGATAAGAACCTAAGTTTAAATAAGCAAATTTTCGGGTTTGTATCAAACTATTTTTTTTATGTATGCTATAAGTTATCAAATAAAATTTTAAATCTAAATTGTTTTTCAGAATAATTGACAAAGGATTTTTAAAATGTTTATTGTGTCGTCATAAATTAACTCTCAACAAACGAGGTGTTCTTGGTCATATTAATGGAATGAGCCATAGAAGAAACCTTAGCGAATTTCTAGAAATTCGTCACTATTGCAGCGTATGTAGACTATTTATACAGGACTTCAATTTGCATAAAATCTCATCAAATCATATTTCTAAGTAAGATACAGTGATCTTAATTATGGTATATAATATACTTTAATTTAATTTTGAATTTAGTATTCCAGATTATAATGATGACTTTAATAAAGATAATCCTCCTACAATGAAACATGAATGCAGTGAGTGCCGCGTTATATCATACTATCCAGCAGGTACCAACTTTGAACACACACATTTTGAATTTGAATTCTCAAAGGTTATTACAAAAGGAAAAATTAGTTCCAATGGTAAATTCATTAAAACTTGGAAATATAAGTATTATCTAAACCAAATTTTATATTAGAAACAAAATTATGTTATTCAATTAACAGCAAAAATTAGAAAAAAAATTTTGACTTTAATCGAGGATGAACAAGTATTGGATGACTACTCTGTTAATTTAATCAAATTGGCAAAAACTGCTGCACAATCGAATGAATTGATATTAGCTACCTGCACCATGCTGGAGAAAAATTTATCAATGTTCACAAGCTGCAAAGCCTACCCTTTTGGCTCTAGAATGACTGGTTTAGGATGTGAAAGTAGCGATCTTGACATTTTTTTTGACAGTGGTAACATTTTTGTATTACTATATGTATGCATACATATATATATATATATATATATATATATATATATATATATATATTTATATTTAATTTGAGTTTGAAAGTCGGGCGTTACATCAATAAAAATAGTATGAGAGTTTTTAGAAATTTACTTAAAATCCATCCTTCTATACTTCATTCAGTGGCAATCAATATAACTATAAAAATTAGAACTAAATAATATGTAAGAAATGGAAATAAATATCATAGAAAAACAATAATAATAATAATAAAAAACACTTACAATTTTGTATCATAATATAACAGATGAGAAGACAGACAGTGGTAATATATATATTTTTTAAAATCACAAATGGTAAAATACACAAATAAACATGAATAACTCTTAATAAGTTGAAGAAACTATGTATTGACTATTTGGAATCTAAGATAGAAATGTCACATTTTTTTTTGAAGCAGTTTTTAAAATGTGTTCAAATTTCACAAGAAAGGGTATGGGCGTGTTTCCATACAGAATTGGCCCCACCCTGGTATTTAAATAATTTTGATGCCATTTTATAGGTATTTTCGAGAAAATCCGATATACCAAATTTCAAATCCGTAGCTCATCATTTGGCCGAGATATCATTGAAAATGTGTGAAAGTGGCCCTTTTTTTCAAAGTCGTTTTTTGTCGCAACGGTGAAAGATATCAGAAAACAAATAACGGGATTATATTCATATCGATGTCTACTATATTTTTAATAACAAATATTGTTTAGTAATTATTTTTTAGTGGAGGAAAAAGTGAAAATAATTTTTCGTTTTGAATTTTCGGGTAGTGCGGTTGTTTGGACTAATTTTTAATTAGCATCATTAGAACGGGTATTCAATTTTTTATTAGTGTGCAAAATTTTGTTTTATTTCATGTGGTAGAACACATTCAAAATTAGAAAAAACCTGAGCAAGTACACGCTCGCGCTCATATAGCACCCGCGTAAGTCGTCTCTCATTCGCAACGACTAGCAACAGCATTGCTCGCCGCGCGTCTTGATAAATTAAAACATTTTTAATAAAACACAATATATATATATTATACATTTATATTTTGAATATTATATATTATATGTATATGTATAATAATAACTATATTTTTATATAATTAAAATATATTTATATTTGCACAAGTATATTATATGATTTAATCATCATTAATAATTTATCAATTAATTATTACTTATTAATTAATTATTATTATTATTTATTGATATTAATTATTAGTACCACTAAATATAAAAAAGATTGATAAAAATATACATAATAATAGTATATCGGTATATGATTACTATTCATGCTACAGCGCAATGTATGCAAATGCAAGTAGACTAAGTTAGTCATAAATATAATTAAATAATATCTTGAAGTTTTTTTTAAATAAGATATATAAAGAATATATTGAATAGAATCTCCAATCATAAATACTCATAATAATTATTGAACTACTGCACTATTGTGTATCATCCTTAATTGAAATATTTGAAATTTCGCGGCATTATAATTATATATTGCATTGTGGTGAATAACTAAATTATATAAATTGAATTGACACTAAAATACAAGAAAAGTGCAAAATCAAATGGTACAAAGGTGTAGAGCACACAAAATTAAAAAGAGCATTATTTATTTAATAATTATCAAAAACTTCGTGATTAGTAAATTCCAAAATTATATTAGTTTTATGCAGTCTGTATTTTGTTATCTTATGTGTGGTTTTGTGGGCAAAATTTCAAATATTTTAATTAAGGATGATACACAATAGTGCAGTAGTTCAATAATTATTATGAGTATTTATAGATTGAGATATTCTATTCAATATATTCTTATATATTATCTAATTTTAAAAAAAACGTCAAGATATTATTTCATATATTTATGACTAACTAGTCTACTTGCATTTGTATACATTGCGCTGTAGCATGAATAGTAATCATATACCGATATACTATTATTATGTATATTTTTATTAATCTATTTTTATTTATTTAGTGGTATTAATAATTAATATCAATAAATAATAATTAATAATAATTAATAAGTAATAATTAATTGATAAATTATAATGATGATAAATCATATAATATACTTGTGCATATATAAAATTATATATTAATTATATAAACATATAGTTCTTATATCCATATACATATAAATATAACTTCTTCAAAATATAAATTGTATAAACTGTGTTTATTAAAAATGTTTTTAATTATCAAGGCGCGCGCGGCGAGCAAGCTGTTGCTAGTCGTTGCGAATGAGAGACGCTTACGCGGGTGCTATATGGCGCGAGCGTGTACTTGCTCAGGTTTTTTCTAATTTTGATGTGTTCTACCACATGAAATAAAACAAAATTCTGCACGCTAAAAGAAAATTGAATAGCCGTTCTAATGATGCTAATTAAAAATTAGTCCAAACAACCGCACTACCTGAAAATTCAAAACGAAAAATAATTTCACTTTTACCTGCACTAAAAAATAATTACTAAACAATATTTGTTATTAAAAATATAGTAGACATCGATATGAATATAATCCCGTTATTTGTTTTCTGATATCTTTAACCGTTGCGACAAAAAACGACTTTGAAAAAAGGGGCCACTTTCACACATTTTCAATGATATCTCGGCAATTGATGAGCTACGGATTTGAAATTTGGTATATCGGATTTTCTCAAAAATACCTATAAAATGGCATCAAAATTATTTAAATACCAGGGTGGGGCCAATTCTGTATGGAAACACGCCCATACCCTTTAAAAGGCGATGGGATCTTGTCATTTTTTAGGAAATTTTGACACGCTATATAGGAACCACGTGTTTATTTCGTTCAGGGCCGTGTTGTCGAATCGTTTGTTTATGACCCTATAGTTTATGCAATCGCAAAAACAACCCCTCAGCGAATTTCTTTTAGTTACGTTCTCTTCAAAATGTAAAATTTTTGGGTTGAAAAAATCTATATTATAATTTAAATTATTTATATGCTCGGTTAACATGGTTATGAATTGTTTGGGATTTTTTGAGTTATTTTTATGTTGATAAAGGCGCTGACTCAGGTTTTGGATAGTTCCTCCGATATAAAAGAGCTCACAAGTAGAACTATTAATCTGATATACTAAGTTTCTGAGACGGTCAGAATTAAACTTAGATTTAATTTGTGTAAAATGGAACTGAGGGTTCTATTGCAATTACATACGTCTAAAACGGTTTTTATGGTCGGTGATTTTGTTTGTTGAAAAGGTAGTTAACCGAGCATGTAAATAATTCAAATCATAATATAGATTTTTTAACCCAAAAATTTACATTTGAAGTGAAAACGTAATTAATAGAAGATTCGCTGAGGGGTGTTTTTGCAATTGCATAACGACAGGTTCATAAACAAACGATTGATAACACATCCCTGAACGAAACAAACAGGTGGTTCCTAAATAGCGTGTCAAAATTTCTTAAAAAATGACACAAGATCCCATCGCTTTTTTAAATTTTTCATAAATTTGAACACATGTTAAAAACTGCTTCAAGAAAAAATGTGACATTTCTATCTTAGACTCCGAATAGTAAATACATAATTTCGATAACTTGTTAAGTTATGTTTATTTATGTGTTTTACCATCTGTGATGTTAAAAAATATATATTTTACCACTGTGCACATACTCATACAATGGATTAATAATGTTTTCATATGTTATATTAGGATACAAAATTGTGTTTTTTATTATTATTATTATTATTGTTTTCTATGAAATTTCTTACATATTATTTATTTAGTTTTAATTTTATAGTTAAATTGATTGCCACTGAATGAAGCCTAATATGCTAGAAACATATGAATTTTAAATAAATTTCTAAATCTATGAAAAAAAAACTATTCAATTGCAGTTTAAGATTAAAAGTTCGGAAAATAGCTATGAGTAAAGAATCTCTTGAATATTAATTTGTATATATGTGTCAAATTTATTGTAAACAATCACAATTAAATGTTTTATAAATGATATAACTTGAAAGGTGTTCTACTATAATGACAAATATGTTTACAATTAACATTAGTATTTGTAGCATGGTTGTAGCATATAACAGCATATAGTTACTTAGCTATTATTTTTGTATTATTACAGGTTCCATGTATAATGGATTACAAAACCAAAACAGTCAATTTCAGAATTCGTTAATTGATGTATGTTGTGAGGTGTTAAAAAAATGTGACGAGTGGGACTTTGTGTTCCCTGTTACAAAAGCTAGAACACCAATTATTAAAGCATTTAATACTGTATATAAAATGGACTGTGATATATCTTTTAGAAATGGCTTAGGTGTTGAAAATACTGTCATATTAAAGTGAGTAATATTTTTGTTATGGACAATTGTTCTAATTTGCTCTCTACATATTGTTTTTTTGTAAAAGTAATTTTTTTCAGGCGAATATTAAATGATCAACCAATCGCAAAGCGTATGATATTAATCTTGAAACATTGGTTAAAACTAATTAAGGTTTCAATGAATGGGTATGCTATAGCATATCTTGTTATATTTTATCTTCAGCTACAAAAGCTCATTGTACCTGTATGGCGTATGACTACAGGAAGAATTCATGAAAAAAAAAAGATTTGCGGTAAGTGTATATTCAAATTGTACTGCAAATTTAGATACAGATATGAGTTGCTTGTGCGTTATAATTGGGAAAGGCAGGGCACAGTGATTAGCTTTAGGATATTAATTTATAAATTATTGGATTCAATCTTCTTTGATCGAAGATGTAACTTGTAGGTTTTTTCAATCCATAAATGTGGTCACCTCATAAATGGACAGTATTTTGGGAAGCACAAAAAACATATATCACCTTTCAAACGTTACTTATGGATAATTTGTCCAAACAACTGCACTGCCAGAAAATTTAAACAATTGCAATGCATAAGTGCAGTGCAATTTGGGGATATCACAGAATGCGAGATATTTTTATTTTTACATTTTGTTTTTTTAAAATCTGGAACTGTCAGCATACGAATCAGCCCAAAATTGCCATTTCTTTTACAATTTATTTGTACAATATAGGGTAATAATAAAGAACTCGACCGGTATAAATGAAAGGGTTAAATTTGTTTCCAATTTAGTGTCATAACATTATCATAAAGGAATCTCATTTTAGTAAATATTTCATAAGTGTCCACATTTGAGGACATTATTCAAAACTAAAATAAATTAATTTTATCTCAGGTTGGGAGTGCCAAGTTGTAGACTATGTGGCTTTTCCGAAAAGCACTGAAAAATTATCGAATTTATTGCGTGGTTTTTTCAAATATTATGGAGAATTCAATTACTCACAGAATGTGATTTGTCCATTATTGGGCCAGATAGTTAATAAAGAAGAGTTTGAAGATTATATGTCACTTCCTGAACAATTTAAACCATATATAGATCATTGCCAACGAATTTCAAGGGCTGCATTAAATGATTTCAATTCAAACGATATGGATTCAAACGATTTAAATTCAAACGATATGGAGTTACTTGATCAGTTATATTTTGGACCCCTAAAAACTGATGCATCAATGTGTCTTCAGGATCCTGTTGATTTGTCTCATAATGTAACTAAAGGTATTCGACCTACAGATTTGGAAAAATTTAAAATTATGTGCGAGTTTTCTTCATCCATTATTGCCACTAAGAATTCGAGTGATCGTGCGGATAATTATATTGATGAATAATAAGCTACACAATAGTTTGATTGTCGTTTCAAGCATACAAGTACAACCATTATTGTTGTCGACAATAATATTTTATAAAAATGTTTTTTAATCTTACTATTAATTAATTTTAATATGAATAAATTTAAAATTTTTAAATGAGCCATATTATTCACTTCAAATTATTTTTTATTTTGGACAAAATGTCTATGTACGGTATGTATTTTATTATAGTCTTGGAAAATGCTTTTACCCATTACGCCTTAATAAATACCGAATTGTAAGTATCTGGCATGAATTGGGAATTTCAGTTGCTGCACCTATATGTATATATATATATATATATATATATATATATATATATATATATAAATGAGAGGTTTTTTCAGATGGTGAAATATTATAATAAAGTTTTTCTTGGGCGTCCATCCATTAATTAAAACTATTTTATTAAGTAGTATTTTAATTTTCCATACATTAATTAAAACTATTTTATTAAGTAAAATGTTTTATTGTCAAACGTTTCGGGTCTTGATTTGACCCATCTTCAGTGCATACAAATAATTTGAAGAAAAAATAAAAAACACGGAAAATATAATGCACCAATTACTATTCAATTTTCAAAGCACGAATTTTAAAACTAATATTAAACTAAAATAAAATAAATGAAAAAGTTTAAAAAAAAGAACTCTTCTCATCGAGATATGTTATAGGTTTGGAAAAAAATTTACTAGTCAAATTACTATACATATATGCATAATAGTATACATATTATGCATAATATAAAAATATCATTTTACAAAAGAATAGGTATGCGTTATGCAGATTAATTGAAAATATAAAAAAAAATCTTTAAAAAGCATATTTTAAAAAGATTCTAACATATGCTGAACGTAATCATAAATTTTTCGTACAATGTTGAATTACTTAAGCCTCGCAAAACAAGCCAAAAAACGCATTGCACAGAGTTCGCATTACACAGAGTAGACATTGTCGTTAAATATTGCTTTTTTAAGATGTTAATAAAACTGTGTTCCGAAAGTTTTGTAAGTCTTTTAACTTACAAATAAATTATATATTTTAGAATTCTAATCAAAAGAAAATATGAAAAACTCGGTATTTTGCAAAATACCCATTATTACTTCTAGAGAGGAAATTCGTTTACTAAAATATACAGTCATCATTTACTTCAATACAGTCTAATAACTTATTTTGCAATACCAATGAAAATTAGAAAAGGGCTTGAAAATAATTCTTCTTCAGCAAATATTAGCTTTAAATTAGACAGGATCTGAAATAGAAAGAAATCATGTATAGACGTAAAACAATGTACTACGTTGTTTTATTTTGTTTCCTTAAGAGTCGCATTTAATAATTCTTTGTTGTAACATACTTAATAAGATATGTTTATAACCCGTTAAATTTAAACCTAAAATCAGGACGAAAAGGTTACAATAATTCATAATGGGCTGAATGAATAATTCATAATTCATAACTTAATAAAATTGCTTAAAATACAATTATAAAAGAAATATCAGAAGTCCTTATCGTCCCGGTGCGAGCGAAAAATTGGCACAAGGTCAAAGGCCGAAGAAATGATTTTTTTCGCGATTTTCAGCTAAATGGTCAGTTTTATCGAGAAATTACCCGAAACAAAATTGTAGAGCATAAAGTTAGCTACACAAAAATGTATGAATACTTTTTTGTCAGAGCCACCGTTTCAAAGATGTCAAGGCTGATATATTATATTTTTAAACTTGTACATTATTCAAAAACTTGTAAAGAAATATAGAGAAATTATCGTTTAACCTTTTCTTTATATTTTTTCAAACATCGCATCAAACAACCGGAGTACCGCCTTACACAAAAAAAAATCCCTACTGAAATGTTTCGGATTTTAAATATTATTGCAAAGCAAAATTGGGAAAAAAATAAAATCAAGCTCTCTCTGAAGACCTCTTAATTTTTCCTGGTTTACGACTTCATTAACTCGGCTATAGCAGAAATTCTCGTTAAACTCAAGAACAATGCTTGGTATAAGCTTGAATTACTTATAAGTGCATTTAACATAATACTTTCTACTAATAGTAAATAATATTATTCTTAAATGGATTTACCGGTGATTCGTTGAAGCTTTTCTTCCGAAACCGATTCGGTTCTTTCATTTTCCGTTGCACTGGAGCAAGCTGAACTGTCGAATGAGTGTTGAGATATTTGACAAAGACAGGCACAAACATCTTTGGAACCTGTTTTTATTATGATTTTTATTAAGTTCTGTAGGGCAAGTTACTAACTGCGCAAAAAAAGATTTTCTGATCTTTTAAAGCATGCTATGTATATTATCGGTTTATAGTAAGCAAGACCCTTTCATTTCAATATAAATAAATATTGTTTCTGACTTTTGTCGAGCTTATTCATATAAATGAACCAAAGACCAAAGTAATGTAATTTCATAGTTTAGTTAGCACAAGGCTTTTATAGTTTAGTTAGCACAAGGCTTTTATAGTTTATTTACCACAAACTTTTACAATTTTGTACTGTATCTGGATTCTGGATTTTTTATGTCTGCGGAATTTATGTGAAGTTAAAGTTTACTATGTGTTCTCATGACACATATTTTTTGACTAATTCCCGTTAGTATTAGTTGATTGTGTTATAATGTTATATTTTTTTTATTTCATTACCTTCCATTATTGTACTCTTCATAGATGAATTTTCTCCATCTATTTCAAAATGCAGACTTGGATCTGGTTCATCAAACACGGATGAAATGTCGTATGGGGTCCATGTTATGTTTTTAATGAGTCGTGCTTTTACTCGATTTAATAGCCCGTTATGGTTTGTCTGTGGAAATATTATTAATATATGTGAAAAAAAAACGCAAAAATATTATGCTATTTGGATCTTAAACAATTCTAAACAGAAACCTTTGAATTTAATATGAATGTTTTTTAATAATAGCGTTATTGCATAAATATTGAAATAAATGTTCAAGTTTGATCATATATACGAGTATTCTGACTGGTAATATTTTTCATTTAGATTATCGTTGTTTTAGACATTTTTATATTGTACTAGCTCTTTTATGCTTATCTACATTATCTAGTCTTTGCAAATAGAGTACTCTTTTGCTTGGAGCTTTGCATTTTGCTTCCTTTCAACGCTATTATTTTTTGCTATTCTGACAAAAACATGGTATCAAATGATGGGAAATTTATCTAAGAATGCAAACAATTGGTCAACCCCAAAAAATTATTTAAAAAAATAATAATAAAAAGATACCTGCACTTGCTTAAGAATATCCAAGCCATTAGTAAGCAAATCTTCCCGAATGGCAGGCAAATCGCAAATGTTTTGTAAACACTGGAAAACACGTAAAAACCGAGTTAGTAGATTTGTTTGATTTCCCTTTTGAATTTTCAAAATCAAACTTTGAATTGGTCAAAAATTGTTTGTGTAATAAGTGTGAGATATTCCTTGAGATAGACAATTCCCACAGTGGTGGTCAATGAGAGTAGGCCTAAGACAATACATAATAATGGGGTTGATCTAGACTAGATACAAGTTGATTTAAAATCAATTATCAATATAAGTTTGGTAGCAAAATATGTACATTTCGAAAAATCGGATTTGAAAAGTCTAAAACTTAAAAAAAGTTCGGAAGATGTCACCTGGAATCGTGATGGTTAGTTTCTGGTAAAGATTGGCCAACCTATTTTTTCTATGGTTAAAATCGTTTTTGATGACTTTGATGATCAAAGAGATCATGGTCTTACCATGAACTTTAAATATTTTTTTGGGTATAATTATAGAAAGTTTGGAAAAATGAGCGGTGTCAAAATTTCAGAACTGTATCGGCGCTAATTTTAAAAGTTGATTTGCAGACTACAGTTGGTATAGTGTAGAATCTGTGTGAATATAGAAATGTTGAAACTTGCCTGCATAGCGTAAATTTGACAATTAACGTTTTTCCTAATAGTTGCCATCTGCACAAGTCTTGCAGGTAATTTGTGGAACTCTCTGCAACGCCATTTCGACCTCGTACTGGATGTGACTGCTTGAAATGCCATTGCTGCTCTTGTATGGACAAGAGCACGCTGTGAAATTGTTATATTTCGATCAAATATCAATCAACATTTTTAACTTCCAGTGGGGTAAGTCATAGTAATAATAGCTAAAAATCGAAAATGAAGTTTTTTGCATATCTTCACGTTTTGAAGGTTTCCGAACATTTTGGCATACCTTAGAAAAATGGATGTATGTGTGTGTATATGTTTGGATACAATTTTTCGTCCACGATTTCGGGCGCACGAATCAATCGATTTGAATGATCAAAAAAACATTCGATTCCTATCGATGAGAAGACGTGCTGATTAGTTTTTGGTGGAGACAGGTCCAGCCCTTTCGAAGATACGAGTCAAAAAGTGCTAAAAACGGTAATTCAGTTAGACAGAACGAAGTACCCGAGTTGAATGATTCAGAAAACATTTTACTTACGAAAAGAAGAATTGATGAAATTTTTGATAAGGCAGGTTTAGCGTTTTCGGAGATACAGAAAAAAGGAAAAAAAATGATATTTGGCGGTCAAAAATGATCATTAGATATATGCTGATCAAATTATGAGATATTTGTTAATATTTTTAAAATCGAGTACTAATTTTGTTACAATTTTATTGGGTTCCGTACCAAGATTGTTAATTTAATTTTTCAAGTTTACTTATACGGTTAAAACAAATTTCAAAATTTTCAGATTTTTTTTCAGATATTTTAAAAATATACAAAGTTTTATACTTCAAATATGAATTTTAAATTTATAATTCAGTTTGAAAATGTATATCAAATACGTTATTGTAATCGTAAGAAATATACCCTCAGATGGATTTCGGCACGTCTTACTTATGTAAACTATCTCTAGTGTTTTGAGCGTTACTGTATAATTTTATGAACGATAAAATATATAGTGATTATAATTATCTATTTGAAAATGTTTAAAGCATTGTTATAAATCATTGATCAATATTTGATTACTGATTATTTTCTCTCGAGTATTTAATTCTGGA